GCGTCTGTTCTCTCCCCTCGGAGCTCGGCAAGGAGTCGGCCGCGCGCCCAGGGTCAGAGGCCCCACGCCGGGAGGGAGACACCGCTCACGGGGCCGGCGATTCGGCCGGCAGCGCCGTGCTCCGGGAAGCCCGCGTGGCCGGGGGCTACAGAGTCACACTGGGCCTGGACGTGGGTGGTCCCCCTGGGCACGGCCAGGAAGGGAGAGGAGCCTGGTCCTTCAGGCCGTGCGCCCAGCCCTGCCAGACACCGGGGGGGACGGTGCAGGGCCAGTTCTCACAGCCCGGGATGGCGGGTTCCTGGAGCACAGACAGGAAAGGCCCGAGGCCCAGCTGTCCATTTCCTGTGCGGCGCGGACAGCAGACAAAGGCCCGCGGGTCCTGCTGCTCCGAGGCGGGAGAAACGGGGCCCACACGCTGCTTCCGAGCGCTGGCCGGGGGAAGGGCCGGACCTGGGGCTCCCCTCAGTTGCAGAAGCCAGCGCGTCGTTGCACTAGTGTCTAGACAGCGCCTCCCTCCCCCGAGGCATCTGCCCCCAGGCTGTGGGGTGAGGCAGCTCTTGGGTTTACAGGAGAAGCAAGGCCCCGGGCACTCGGCTCGGTCCCTGCTCCCCTCTCCAAACCCACCGACTCTCCGGCCTTTCCCGAATGCCCGACTCAAACTGTGCCAGATTGCGGGAGCCAAAGTGGCCCGGCCAAAGCCGAGCCAAGCGGCAGTTCACTCCCCCAGCAAGCAGCATCCGCACCACGCCTGGGCCCCACGTGCGCGGGGCTTGGAGGGCAAGGACAAGACACGATCCCAGGAGGAGAGGGAAGAGCCAGCAAAGGGATTCAGGGCGAAGCAGCAGCCAGACAAGCTCCGCCCCAGACAGCTCGGATCACGTTTACGGGAGCTGGGTCCCCCCAGCCCATGTAGTCCTGGGGCTCGGCCACGGGGAGGGGGAGCGGGTGCCCACACCCATAGGACAGCTGCCCACTGTGCCGGGACGAGTTATTTCGCACCCACCACCGAACCGGGTGACCTTTGGGTTGGGCACCACCCTCTCCCCGGAGATAAAAGGCTTCACAGCTCGCTCCGGCTGCCGGAGCCCGACACTCCCCTGAACGAGCCTGTTCCCCTGCAACTCAACAGCCAACTCTGTTGCCACAACACAGCTCTCCTGCCAGGAACAGGCCCCGGCAGGAGGGCTGCTGGTCCCACCAGGTCGGAGCCACTCAGCCCGGAGCCACCTCCCGGCGCTAGCTCTGGGGATGTCTCCTCGGCCGGATGCCAGTAGCCAAGGCCCAGGGATCGCAGCCCAGAGGTGCAGAAACCCCATCCTTCCCCAAGCCGGAGCTGCATAATAACCCGGCTGGACAGAGACGTGTCGAAAGGACGTTCCCTGTGCTCGGGCATCAGACGTGGTTCCCACCTGCTGCTACGTGCCCGGGATCCAGTCCTCGAATAGCCCCCCAGAAGCCCTGCTCCATCGTGTCCAGTGCCACGTACCCCCCCGCGTTCACCACCTCGCTCTGCACCAGAGGGAGTCACAGTCCACAGACGGCCGGTTACAATGCAAGGCCCTGACTGCAGCATCGCGCGTGCAAGGGGGGGAATTAAACCCGGGGCTAAAAGAGCCTTTTGTAGCAGCTCCCACACGCCAGATCAATTTAGGAAAACACAAAACACTAACTGGAGCAGACACCAAGCCATTATCTGAAGCCAGAAGCCAATTTACTCAGGCCCCCTCCTCCCACGGCTGGCAGGTAAATGATTAGCTGGTTGCAGATGGGATGACAAAGGATTCAAAGGCTGCTAAGTCCTGCAGCCGCAGATCTGTCCCCAGCTACTCCCGCTCTCGCGCCCGCTGTGGAATTTCCACCCCCTTTGCCGAGGACACGGCGCCGCACACGCCACGCTGCAGGTTTCCATCACTTGTCCAGCACCTGTCGGCTGATTCATTCGCGCCCGGAGCCGCTCGGGCAAGGGGGCGGGAGGAAGCAAGGCTGGGGGCTCTTTTGAAAGTTACTGCTCAGGGCTTGTTCTGCAGAGGAGAACGAGAGGCCAACAAGCAAGCCGAGTCCAGGCAAACGGTGGGCAGCACGCTTTCCCGCGGCATGCTTACCGCGGTGACCGCTTAGCCGGGCCGGGAGGCTGCTCCACACACCCATTGTGCCCCCCCAATACAGAGTATTTGCCGTGTTTCGCCCAGGACGTTCCCACGTCCCAGAACTAGCACGAGACCAATTCCCGCCCGGGGCGATCCCACGTGGGTTCAAGTGGCTCAGCCAGGAGGTAAAAGAGGAAGGAGGGTTAATTTGTGCGGTTTTTGTTTGTGTTATCAAACATCGTGGGGGTTTTCAAAACCAGAACCCACATCATATTCAAACCCTGGGCACCACCCCACCCCTCGGCGGAAGCGCATTTGCTCTGGCTCGGCAGCAGCTGGGGCGAAGGGGGAAAATGTGATTTGCCTATTTCTAGAGCTGGTGTCTCGGGGTGAGGCTCGAGGGTTAATTTGTGCGGTTTTTGTTTGTGTTATCAAACATCGTGGGGGTTTTCAAAACCAGAACCCACATCATATTCAAACCCTGGGCACCACCCCACCCCTCGGCGGAAGCGCATTTGCTCTGGCTCGGCAGCAGCTGGGGCGAAGGGGGAAAATGTGATTTGCCTATTTCTAGAGCTGGTGTCTCGGGGTGAGGCTCGATGAGGGGACAGAGGGAGATTCCACAGAGGGCCTGACACTTGGGAGGAGCGCCGCAGGTGCTCAGACACTGGAGGAAGTGGGGGACCTTGTTTGGGTCGGGGGCCACTGACCCACAGAAAAATCAGTTGGGGGCCACACACACGTGAGACGCAAAGGGAGAAGCCCCTGACTGAGAAGTGGGCTGTGCCCACGAGAGCTCATGAGACCATCTCCATGTTTCATTGGTCTATAAAGTTTTGTGAGTCTACCAGGCCACTGGCTTGTTTTTTACTTGCTTGTTAAGTTTTTTGAGAGGCAGAATGACCCTCCCCACGTTCCCCTCACACACCACGGCCTCGGGGCCCAGGCTAGAAGCACCTAGGTAATTAGATTGAGTTGGGGTTGGTCCTGCTTTGGGCAGGCGCTGGACTTGGTGACCTCCTGAGGTCTCTTCCCGCCTTAGGATTAGATAGAGCAACCCCTCTACCCATGTTGTTTGCCTGCCTGGCCCCAAGCGCCCTAAGATTTCCTGACGAGCTCGGCTCCCATTCAGCGCCCAAAGAAGCGAGGGGATCGTCACAGCAATGGGAACCAAGCAGCCACCTGCGCGTCCGGCCAATGGTCCGGCCAGCCCTGCGTCCTGCCCTCCGACAGCATCTTCACCAGCGCAGCCCTACCCGCAGGCAGCCCCGGTCCCAGCGGGGGGCAGCCCCTTGGCCGGCCCTTACCTGAGCGGGAGGCGGAGGGGCAGGTAGCGGTCCATGGCCACGGCCAGCAGGCTGAAGATGGAGCTTTGGGTCAGCACCAGCACGAAGCAGGCGAGGAAGAGGCAGCAGTGGAAGTTGGTGACCAGGCCCATGCTGA